ATTATTTCATTAAGAATATTTTAGTATATTCAAAGATTAGAAGTATAATCTAAACTATAAAACATGAATCTCATATATACATATATACACGCGCAAAGGAGAAATGTGTTTATCGGCTAGACTTCTAAAAAATTAGGAAGAAAAAGATCCTAAAATTATGTTGTTTTAATAAATTCCATTAAAAAAGAATAAAATGATTTGAGTTTGTTATGCTCTTTTCTTGTGATACTGTGATGAAACAACTCAATTTTAAGGTATTCGTCCTCTTAATTTTTTAGAGAATTGGTTGACAAACATATATATATATATATAATTATCTTTAATAAATATGAACAAAAGTGAATAAATTTCAATTATTAAAAGCAGAAAGATGAATTATCAAGGTTTTGTATAAGTATGATGTGTAAGATTTGTATATAAGTGAATCGCTACTCATATATATGATTAAGGAAAACTAAGATGTTGTGGCAATTAAAATGCTATAACTAATAATGAAAATACTAAAATGCCCTTAATGAATCAACACACAAAAAAATTCATTAATGGTAGTGGAATAATTTTAAATGGATTGATTTTTACTTTTCTCTTTATACACATAGACACACACACACACACATATATATATATATATATAATTTTGAGCTGCACAAACTTTCTCTCATTTCTTTATCTTACTTTAATATCAAGAAAAAATTATTATTCAACTATTCCCGGGAGCCCATGGATTTTGGTCTGGCATTATTATGAAAACTTCTGATTTTTTGCTATGGTATGGTACTTAACCTTGACATGGGCCGGACATCCTTCCTTCAATCTTTATCTCATAAAACGACTCTGTTTTCTGTCGCAATCTCAGGGACAGCATGTCTGCTAAACTCTTCACCAATTCATGTGATGTTATTCCAACAAAAATTTTTATTCTTACATCAAATAATAGTCTTATTCCCGTCATCAATTTTTTAAACCAAATTATCATCAACGATTAGTGTTGATTCATTAGACTTTTAAAAAATTAAGAGATAAATATTTCATTATTTTAAATTTTTAATTAGAATTTACTGAAAAAAATATAATTTAAGGATAATTT